GAATTCCTGAATAAAACAGATAATTTGCTAACGTGTGATGGAGGTAGGAAAATCATCCATTTAATTTCAAAACAGAGTATGCCTGAGCAATATGGTAAACCGACTCTTCCAAATACTTGATATGTTTAGTGGGATGAAGTCTTTAGTCTGAGAAGGTTAAAGGTCTTGTGAGACATCCAGGATTTCATAGTACTACTGAGCCTTTAGCCTTCCCTGCCAAAGAATGCTGGTGCCTCAGGAACCTACAACTCTGAACCCTGGGAGTTCAAGCGATGTCAAAGTGTATTCTCAAGGATCCCAGGAATCATCTAGTCCAGTGGTTCTCAACCTGGGGTCCCCAGATGTTTTTGGCCTTCAACTCTCAGAAATCCTAACAGCTGGTAAACTGGCTGGGATTTCTGGGAGTTGTAGGCCAAAAACATCTGGGAACCCCAGGTTGAGAACCACTGATCTAGTCCAACCCTCTGCTGGTACAGGAATCCAATGCTAAAGAAGCCTTAATATATGGCTATCTAATAATTGCTTTAAAAAAAACCAACAATGCAGGTGCTATCAATTTCAGATAGCATCCATATTGCCATCAAACACCTCTTTCCATTGAGCAGCTCAAGTCACAGACTTCCTAGTAATGTCTATCCCTTAGAGGAGCCAAAAATAGTTTTCACAGGCAGCTTTCATCTGCAGGACAGAATTACTAATAGGATTCCAATGAGCAGAAAAAGGTGGCTGGCCACGCAAGGGTAGCCCTATTAAAGCAAAACACCAGCTGGGCCCCGAATGGTGCCTGGTTGACAGCTGATACTGAATAAATGCTTATAGTAGCAGCTTGCAGATCTGTGGCAGGCTTGTCTTTATCATATCAAAGCTCTTTCTTTGATCATCTATCATAGCCTTACCGATGTCAAAGCAAGCCTTACATATGCACACATTTGTAATGCCCAGCTAACAATATCATTGTCTACACTCTCTGTTTGGTTATATTGCTAACCCCTAATGGATCCTGACTGGAATTAGCCCTCGCAATGAAATTCCAGGCTTGTAATAGCTCAGGCAGGACTCCTTCCTTCCAGTTTCACAAACTGCCTGCAGTGAAGCAATTACTATCAAATGGAATAAGAAGCTCACAAATATATATTTTTTTGCCTGGGTTTGCTGGTTCTCAGTTCTAAATGAAAAGTGCATGAGCGACATCTAGTGATCAAATGAAACAAATTATATATAGAAGACTCTCAGTTATTTGCTAGATGCTGGATAAATGTAATAATAAGAATATTACTAATAATAATTATTATAATAATTGATGTCACCATACCAGGTGACAGTCGCATTGAGGAAAAGCAACAGGAAAAACTCAGCCGTTATCAGACCCTCAAAATTGAATTGCAAAGGCTCTGGCATAAACCAGTACAGGTGGTCCCAGTGGTCATTGGCACACTGGGTGCCGTGCCAAAAAATCTCAGCTGGCATTTGGAAACAATAAACATTGACAAAAACATGATCTGTCAACTATAAAAGGCCACCTTACTTGGATCTGTGGGCATCATTCAAAAATACATCACACGGTCCTAGGCACTTGGGAAGTGTTCGACTTGTGATTTTGTGATACGATATCCAGCATATAGATCTCATTTACTGTGACATATTGTGTTTTTCTGTCAGTAAAATAATAATAATCACCTGCCTCTTCTTGCAGTTTGAGGTGTGGTACAACATGGTTAAAATAGAGAGATAAAACAAGACACTATTAAAATACACATAATAAGATACACACAGGTAAAATGTAGGTTAAAATTCACAAAATAATAATAATGTAGTTACTGGTTGCTTGCAAGTTACTATTAAAATAGGCCTAACTCATACTATACTCTATATCAGGCATGGGCAAACTTTCTAACTTGGGGCTGCATGGCGGGCGGAGAGGAATGGGCAGGCTGGAAGGGAAGGAGTTCTCCCCAAGTCCCCTCCCTGCCCTTTCCTCCCCTTTCTCTTCTCTTTCAGAGGCAGAAAGTGAAGGAAAGCTGGGAAACGTTTGGATTCCAAAAGGGTTGGCCTTGGTCAGGATGAGATGGTGGACGAGAGAGAAAAAGTGTGTCCATTAGACTCTATACTGTGTACTCTTGATATAGAATCTTAGAATCCTACAGCTGGAAGAGACCCCGCCATCTGTTCCAACTACCTGCCATGCAGGAAGGCATAATCAAAGTACTTCCACCAGACAGCTTCTTTGGAAAGCCTCCAGAGAAGAAGACTCCACCACTCTCCCAGGCAGCCTATGCCACTCTCCAACAGCTCTTATTCTCAGGAAGTTCTTCCTAATCTTTTCAGTCGAATATCTTCCCTGCCATTTCAAGCCATTGCTCCCTTGTGCCCTGGTCTCTAGAGCAGCAGAAAGTCAGTTTTCCTCCTCCTCCTCAATGGGACACTCTTTTACATTTTTAAACATGGTTCTCATGTTCCCTCTCTACTTTCTCTTCTACCAGCTAAATGTCCCCCAGGAGGAAAGGGGGAAGGAAAAAGAGAAAGAAGGGAAGGAGGAAGAGAAGGATGGATGGATGGATGGATGGATGGATGGAAGGGTGGAAGGGAATTGAGGGAGGGAGGGAGGGAGGGAGGGAGGGGGGAAGGAGGAAAGAGAAAAGGAAAGAAAGACAAAGGGGAAGGAAGGAAAGAGAGACAGGGAAGGAGCTAGGAAAGAGGGAAGGAGGGACAAAAGGATGGAAGGGAGGTAGGGAAGGAGGAAGAAAAGAGCAAAAGAAGGAAGGATGGTGTGAGAGAGGAGGGCCTGAGAAAAGAGCGCAAGGGGCCACACCCGGCCCCTGGGCCTGGGTTTGCCCATACCTGCTCTATATACTACACCAGGGGTCCTCAAACTAAGGCCCGGGGGATGGATACGGCCTTCCAAGGTCATTTACTCAGCCCTCGCTCAGGGTCAAGCTAAGTTCAGAGATTCCATCTGAACATGAGGAAGAACTTCCTGACTGTGAGAGCCATTCAGCAGTGAAACTCTCTGCCCCGGAGTGTGGTGGAGGCTCCTTCTTTGGAAGCTTTTAAACAGAGGCTGGATGGCCATCTGTCAGGGGTGATTTGAATGCAATATTCCTGCTTCTTGGCAGGGGGTTGGACGGGATGGCCCATGAGGTCTCTTCCAACTCTTTGATTCTATGATTCTATGATTCTAAGTCTGAAACAACTTGAAAGCACACAACAACAACAATCCTATCTCATCAGCCAAAAGCAGCTCCACACTTCCCATTGAACTACTAATAAGTTTATATTTGTTAAAATTGTTCTTCATTTCAATTATTGTATTGTTTTTAAGTGTTTTTGCACTACAAATAAGATATGCACAGTGTGCATAGGATTTCATTCTTTTTTTCCCTTCAAATTATAATCCAGTCCTCCAACAGTTTGAGGGACAGTGACCTGGCCCTCTGTTTAAAAAGTTTGAGGAACCCTGTACTACACCATAAATTCTGTATTGACTTGATCTTAATATTGAAACATAGTATTTACAAGTAAATTGATACAATGACAAACTTAATATAATACAGTTTTACTGTATTATGTATTTTAATGTTTATATAAAGTATGATTTCTTCAAATTTTTGGTTAGTTGCTTGAGAGCTGTGGTTAACAGAAGCCTCTTCCACACTGCCCTATATCCTAGGATCTGATCCCAGATTATCTGATTATCTCAATGTCATCTCCTACTGTTAGCCCCAGCTTCTACCAACCTAGCAGTTCAAAAACATGCAAATGTGAGTAGATCAATAGGTTCTGCTCCAGCGGGAAGTCAACAGCGCTCCATGCAGTCATGACCTTGGAGGTGTCTACAGACAATACCAGATCTTCAGCTTACTATTAAAAATGGACATGAGCACCAGACACGACTGGACTTGTCAGGGGAAAACCTTTACCTTTACCTTAATGAGGTATCTAAGAGATGGGACAATCTCCCTGTATACTTCACATAAAGTGGCGTCAAACTAGATCAGACATGGGCAAACTTCGGCCCTCCAGGTGTTTTGGATTTGAAATACAAAACACTGGGAGGGCCGAAGTTTGCCCATGCCTGATGTACACTGTAGAATCAGGCATGATTCTACATTGTAGACGCATGCCTGAGCTCTGTGAGTGCAACTTTTTTTTCCCAATGAAGCAGAGAGTGTTTGAGGACCAGGACATTTGTAGGGATACCAAAGTGCTTGTTTATAATGCTACTGTCCTCCCAACCCTGCTATATGCCTCCGAGACGTGGACTGTCTACAGACATCACAGATGAAAGCGACAGCTCCCCTGGCAGCCAGAAAAAGTTAAATAGCATCTGTCTATGTCTGTATATGTTGTATGTCAAAATTGGTATTGAATGTTTGCCATATATGTGTACACTGTAATCTGCCCTGAGTCCCCTGCAGGATGAGAAGGGCGGAATATAAAAGCTGTAAATAAATAAATAAAATAAATCACATGCAACTCCTGGAACGATTCCATCAATGCTGCCTCCGAAAAATCCTGCAAATCTCTTGGGAAGACAAGCGGACAAATGTCAGCGTGCTGAAAGAAGCAAAGACCACCAGCATTGAAGAGCTGCTCCTCTGCCATCAACTCCGCTGGACCAGCCACGTTGTCCAGATGCCTGACCACCGTCTCTCAAAGCAGTTGCTCTACTCCGAACTCAAGAACGGAAAACAGAATGTTGGAGGACAGGAAAAGACATTTAAAGATGGGCTCAAAGCCAACCTTAAAAACTCTGGCATAGACACTGAGAACTGGGAAGCCCTGACCCTTGCGCACTCCAGCTGGAGGTTAGCTGTAACCAACAGTGCTGTAGAATTTGAAGAGGCACGAATGGAGGGCGAAAGAAAGAAAAGTGCCAAGAGGAAGGTGCTTCAAGGCATCCCTTAGTACACTGTAGAATGAATGAATACAGTTTGACACCACTTCAACTGCCCTGGCTCAGTGCTATGGGATCCTGGCTGTTGTGGTTTCCGAAGAGGTGCCAGGGGAGGGAGCGTAGAGTGACGTCTTCCGCGCATTTGGGAAGCCTTCCCGATCATGCGCTGTTTGCCTGCACAGCACTGACTTGCTCGACACGTTCTTTGCCCCTGGAGTTCAAAGGTAAGGTTCAGGAGGAGGGAGAGGAAAGGGGCGGGAGGGGGTTGGCCCTTCTTTCCTTCCGGCCTGGGCAGGTAAGAGGCAGAAAGCTTCCCCCTGCGCCTGCGCAAGGGATCCTAAATCGAGCCGCCTTCATGCGCGTGGCTTGTGTGTCTGCACGCCTTTGTCAGCCCCGGTGGGAGAGAGCCTTTGCATGCTTTCCCTTTCCTAAAATATGGAGAGGAGATCCTTTCCTCTGTTTCTCTTTATGGCCCCAAACCTCACTTCTGCTCGCAAGCCGCCTTCTCTAGACCTGCCTCCAGGGCCCTTCCACACAGCCCTATATCCCAGGATATCAAGGCAGGAAATGCCACATTATCGTGAGTCTGGACTCAGATAACCCAGTTCAAACAGATATTGGGATTTTCTGCCTTGATATTCTGGAGGCCCTTCCAGGGCCCATCCACACAGAAAATCAAGGCAGAAAAATCCCACAATATCTGCTTTGAACTGGGTTATCTGAGTTCACACTGCCTTATATCCCAGTTCAAAGCAGACCATGTGGGATTTTATTCAACTGGGTGGAAGGGGCCCCAGACAACCCTATATCCCAGGGCCCTTCCGCACAGCCCTATATCCCAGAATATCAAGGCAGAAAATCCCACTGTATCTACTTTGAACTGGATTATCTGAGTCCATACTGCCATATATCCCAGTTCAAAGCAAACAATGTGGGATTTTATTCAACTGTGTGGAAGGGGCCACACACTACCCTATATCCCAAGGCCCTTCCACACAGCCCTATATCCCAGAACATCAAGGCAGAAAAGACCACTATATCTGCTTGGAATTGGGTTATCTCCATACTGTCATATATTCCAGTTCAAAGCAGATAATGTGGGGTCTTCTGCCTTGATATTCTGGGATATAGGACTGTATGGAAGGGCCCCAAGACTGATGTCCCAACCTGCAGGTGTTTGGGACTCCAGCTCCCAGAAGCCCCAGCCAACTTTTCCAATGCTCAGGAATTCTGGGAGCTGGAGTCCCAAACCCCTGATGGACCAAAGGTTGGACACCACAGAATTGACTATGGATTCTTCCAGCCAGGCCCTATATCCCAGGATCTCATCCCAGGTTTTCTGCTTATCCCAGAATATCTGGCAGTGCAGACTCATAATCCAGTTTAAAGCAGAAAACCTGGGATCGGATCCTGGGATAAAGGGCCTGTCTGAAAGCACCTTGAGGCTGGATCTGTACTGCCCTATATCCCAGGATCTGATCCCAAGTTTTCTGTTTATCCCAGGTTATCTGGCAGTGCAGACTCATATAATCCAGTTTAAAACAGAAAACGTGGGATCAGATCCTGGGATAAAGGGCCTTCTCTGAAAGGGCCCTGAGGCTGCGTCTACACTGCCCTATATCCCAGGATCTGTTCCCAAGTTTTCTGTATATCCCAGATTATCTGGCAGTGCAGACTCGTATAATCCGGTTTAATGTGTCAGATCCTGGGTTAAAGGGCCTGTCTGGAAGGGCCCTGAGTCCGCACTGTCATATAATTCAATTCAATGTGGATTTTATACAGCTGTGTGGAAGGGGCTTAGAGACTTCATAGCATTTTCCACTCTGTAGAATTAATACAGTTTGACAACCACCCCATTGAACTGCTCTGGCTCAGTACTATGTAATTGTGGGAGTTTTAGTTTTATAAGTCCTTTAGCCTTCGTTGCCAAAGAGTGCCTGGGAATCACCAAACAACAACTCCCAGGATTAAAGAGCATCGAAAGTGGCATCAAACTGCACTCGTTCAACAGTGCGGATGCACCACTTGTGAATTTAATAGGCGAGGAGACTGAAGGATTGGTTTGGACAGTCCCTCTCTCAGCGCAAAGTGCATTTTAATATTGTTTACTATCCTCTACTTGTTTGCTATCCCCTTACACATAAACTATGTCAGGGCTTCTTATACCTATTCCGCTCATTCCACCCAATAAACGTTTACATAACCCCAGTTGTATCAATATATAGTATAGCTTGTATAACAACCAAACATTTACTGATAATAAATCAGCAATTGCAAGGCCTTCTAAACAAGCTGTTTTCCTTTTTTGTGGAGTACAGCTGAAGCATTTTCTGCAGAATCAACTGTAAACACTGCAGGTTGATGCCAATAGATTTGTGTAAATGAGTGGCATTCAGAAACATTTTACTGTATGTCAATGTTTTCGTGACCCCAACATTGATCTAAGGGGACCCCATTTGAGGTTGGGACCCATTGTGTAAGAAGCAGTGCACAATATCATCCAAGTGTCCCACTTTAGCAGGGACAGTCTCAAGCTGCCCCACTTTTTCAGTGTGTTTATATGTCCATTTATCTCTACTCCTCCCACTCTCTCCCTTGGAGCCCCTGTGGCTCAATGGGTTAATCCTTGTGCCGGCAGGACTGCTGACCGAAAGGGTGACCTCCATCTGTCAGCTCCAGCTTCTTGTGTGGGGACATGAGAGAAGCCTCCCACAGGATGATAAAATATCTGGGCACCCCCTGGGCATCGTCCTTGCAAACAGCCAATTCTCTCACAACAGAAGGAACTTGCAGTTTCTCAGGTTGCTCCTGACATGGAAAAAGAACTCTCTCCCTTTTTTTCTCAGCTCATGCCGACTGCTGAAATGGGTTTCAACATGCAAATGTTAGTTCCAGGAGTAAAGAGAAAGAGATGGCAGTATCATGTCATGTCCTATAGGTTTAGGTAAACTGCTGAGGCTCACAAAGTTTTGTCTGTTCTTCCTCATTCACGTTGTTAACTGCGGTCAAGTTTACTTTGACTTATGGTGACTCTATAAGTAAGAGCCCTCTTTGGGCACATCTACACTAATCACTTACTGTGGATTAAAGTTAGCTTGGAAAGGCAGTGTTTATACAATACATACCATGAATGCGCTCTGCAGTGTGCTTGGAGGACTTTAAACCAAGGCCCCATCCACACCTGAATAAAACCCCACATTATCTGCTTTGAACTGGAATATATGGCAGTGTGGACTCGGATAACCCAGTTCACAGCAGATACTGTGGCATTTTCTGCCTTGATATTCTGTGGAAGGATCCTAAAATAACCAAAGTTGGGGGATACCAACCAAATTAGAGCTTCTAATGTGCATCAGTGAGCTGTAAACCACACTATGACAAAGTACAACAGTCCTAGGGCCCTTCCACACAGCCATATAACTCAGAATATCAAGGCAGAAAATCCCACAATATCTGCTTTGAACTGGATTATCTGAGTCCATACTGTTATATATTTCCAGTTGAAGGCAGATAATGTGGCATTTTATTCAGCTGCGAAGAAGGGGCCTCAGTCACCTTGGCTTCTAGAAAGAGGCATGGTTTGCTGTCTTTTCAGCAATGCAAAATATTAGTGGATCTCTCCTCCAGCACTTCATTTCAAATGAATTGATTTGCTTCCTATCAGCTTTCCTCACTCATACCTCTTGCCGTTTTGACCATGGCATTGTGTTGCTTGGCCACACTTTTCTTCGTTGTCGATGAAATGTCGGAGGTATAAAAACACACATATCCCACCTAATTTCTTTTCTATTTGCCAGCCTTATCCAGGAATAATACAAAAGGTATACTGTTCAAACAGTTATAATCCATTTATATGGTAACAATACTGAAGGAAAAGCCTTATTTCCCCTTTCCTGATAGAATGGAAACATACCTTAGAAAGCCCATGATAATGCACAAAATTATTTTTCCACTGAGATTTCAAATGTGTTTTTTTTAAACTTGAATTATGAAAAATTTCTTTTCAGAGGGCAAAAATAAATAAAATATTACACTGAATGCTGAAGAGAGGATTTATTTCTCATCTCCCCAATAAATACAGATAATGCTTTTACATACAAAGAAAGATATTCAACAGGGACATAGAGAGCGAGAAAGAAGAGCAATTACCATAAATTCTGAGTAATTTGTAAACCAGAAGTAGGATGTAGCTCAGCATTCCTGGCTAATATAGTGTTATTTTCTATAGGTTCAATGAAAGGTCTTCTTGTCCGTATCCCAAATTCTTTTGCAGTTTTTGATCCTTTCAGTATTTGGAAGGCACATGTGGGCACACAAACACCTTTATGTCTTACTAAAACAGACTCCAGTTTGTTTTTTTCCAAAGTGAGTTTTATGTATTAGATAAAATGTTTTCATTAGATGATAGGGCTGTTTTGAAAACAGAAGGAACCGTGAAATGAAAAACAAACCCTTTGAAACATTTTTGAAAGACTGTTTTCTTTTGTTCTTTCCAGAGACAGAAACTTCTCTTCTAGTGTGATATGTTATGACACTCCACGACTGCTAGCGTTAGTATGTTAAAATGTTTCACCTATTTTAATATAACTAGGGAAACAAAGATGGGATCTTACCGCAAAGAACTTATAAGCATCTGTCACGCCTCCCCGCCTGGTTTAGTTCTGTTTAAAATAGCTCCTTAGCTTTCACTTAAAAATAAGAGGAAAAGGCACATCAGAATACCTTGGCTGTTTCCAGAGGAATACAGCAGAATGTGCAATTTTCTGATTTCCAAAGTATTAATTATTTGAAAAATTTGATTTACATTATTTTTTAAGGTAGAGCTAATCTATGCAGAGCCCTAACAGCTTTGGTTGTGCAGCATTTGAAACCTGTTGTGACTGACTCTCTAAATAGACTTTCATTTAATTATATCAGGTTCAGTTTGGATCCTGTGAACAGACAAAATATGAATCAATTGCAGAAAAAAATAAGACAAAAGTAATCAAATAATCATTATAAACTGCTTGAAATAATAATAATAATAATAATAATAATAATAATAATAATAACTTTATTTTTATACCCCGCCACCATCTCTCCAGGGGGACTCAGTGCGGCTTACAAGGGACAAGCCCGAAAATACAAATTACAACACACACAAAATACATAAAAATAACTAAAACCAATAGCAAGCTTCAGAAATACATTACAATCACAATACACATTTTACAAACAGTATCATGGCTGAGAGATTAAGTGCTGAGGGGGGAGGAATCAGAGAATGAAATTTTTGAGCAACACTGAAAAAACAGGGATTTCAGACAAGAATCAACCAGGGCTAGCTAAAATCTTCCAACAAAGGATTCCCTCTCCCCCCCCCAGGCAACAACTAGCCAGGCATTGAAGCTGCAAGGCCATTCAATGCTAATCAAGGTGGCCAATTACAACATTCACACTTGCCTCCAACAGACAAGAGTTTTTTTCTCCCACTCTGGACATTCCACAGATATCTAAACCCCACTTGCCTCATTTCCAGCTGACCTCACAACTTCTGAGGATGCTTGCAATAAATGTGGGTGAAATGTCAGGAGAGAATGCTTCTGGAACATGGTCATACAGCCTGGAAAACTCACAACAACCTTGCTACAGAGAACGTATCTAGAGTTATGTGGATGAGATTTAGAACATTTTAAGAACACAATAATTGATTATCAAATTCAACTCAGATTCATTTCATATGCATTCATAAATCATAGGAAAAGAAGTGAATAGATACAATACTTTGCAGTGTCATTCCACAAAGTAGCATATAACTTTATGCATCCCTACCTCATTCTGCAAAAATCCCAGACTGGATTCAGAATTAGTCAGAGTTAAACCTATTTAATGGACTATAACCATTAAAATCCATGATTCACTTTGTTCAGTTGATTTCAGTGAGTGTAATGTTAATATTATGAGTCCAATGAGTTTGGATTCCATATATTTAAGAAAGGCCCCATCTGTTCTCTGGCAGATGATTAAGAGACTTTATCATCTTAGAGCAGTTTCAGATATTTTCAACAAGTAAGAAGACAGAAGGGTACTTGCTTCATAGCTGTGTCCCATAGGTTCATAGTTTGAAATCTAGGCATTCTCTGGTTGACTGACTAAGAAATCCACGTTCATGTTTTTCCCATTATGCCAGCTGATCAAAGCAAGAGTTCTGTTGGAAATGTTAACTCCACACTCTCATGGCATGTGTTTTTTTAAAAATCTTTGCCAGCTGGGCAAGGTTTTTCGCTTTCTATGTTAAACATTTATACATTCCAAATTTCTCAAATTGCATAGCCACATCCAGGAAAGAGCCCTTATAAGTGTCTTTCTACACCCATTACCGCTCCTGGAAGTGTTTATAGGCATCTCTAAGGGCCCTTCCACACAGCCATATAACCCAGAACGTCAAGGCAGAAAATCCCACAATATCTCTTTTGAACTGAGTTATCTGAGTTCACACTGCTATATATTCCAGTTCAAAGCAGATAAGGTGGGATTTTATACAGCTGTGTGGAAGAGGCCTTAGTGCTCCAACACAACTTTATGGTGTGGTAAGGCTGGAAGTTAACTAGCAAGGTATCAAGAAGAGAAAATTTGAGAGCCTAACAGAAGCAGGTGAGCAGATAGAGGCTTCTCCCGACCATGGGAAGCATTAAATTTAGAAAAGACAGCAATATCTTATGATATTGCAAAAGAAAGTAGAGCTCTTGCTTCATTAGAATACCAGAAGCCAACTTTTGTGTACATAATTACTGTTTTTTACCAATCTTATGTAACTGTGTTTTGCTCCTGTCTTTTTCAAATGAAGCTTTTAAGACCCTTTTAAGACACATTTATTAATGGAGGTTAATCATGTGTCAATTGCAGTGTTCACTGGTTCTGACCAATTAAGAAGCACAATTAAATTTCTGCATGGCACTACCTAATCAGTAACCATACAATTAGCTCAATTTTCCTGTGCTTTTGAACAAAGGGCTTGTTTCTTACACTTAATGGAGATGATTAGTTGACATTTGCTTGTGTGTTTTATACTATGACTGTTTCCTGCCTTTTCCAATATGAGATTGCATCATGGACACATAATTGAGTTGAATATGTATGCATTTTGAATAAATTGTATTCGGGTAATGAGTAATAGGGGGTGGTCCTTTCTCTACAAAAGGGCTATGATTTGGAAAGTAGCTTACTTTTTATTTGAAAGATGATATTTCCTATTTGTTTTTGTTTTATTTTAGCCTGGGTCCATTTCATTTAGAAGCTGACTCTGGTACCTAGCCTATTAGTAATGAATTATTCACGATTTATTACTGCAGTAAGTGCAGCAAGAAAAGCATCACCAATAAGAGTTCTCAGTAAGTATGTATTCTGTGTTACTATATGTTACCCTTAGGTTACTAATAGGGCTCTGGATTTCTATCCAGAGCCCTATCCAGTCTTTTTATGAGATAATATAGTTTTCAATACAGAGGCTATATTATACAGTTTACCAGCTGTTAGGACTTCTGGGAGTTGAAGGCAAAAACATCTGGGAACTCACAGGTTGAGAACCACTGCTGTAATAGAAAATAAGGGGAACCCATTGAATCACCTCCTATGCACCATCTGAGAATCATATCAATATCTTGGCATTTGAAAAGGAATGTTTTAATGACTCTTTTGTTCCATTTTACAACTTTTATTACCATTCTGCCAGCTCAGAACAGAGTGAGTAAGAACTCCAAATGAAGTCCTGTGCTCAACAGGGTTACACTCCCCATGAGGACACAGATCCACAATCTGAGGGGGTCCTCTTAAACTCAGCACTGACACTTGAAGCTCAGGTGTCAGCATTAGCTGGGAGGGCCTTCACACAGTTAACACTTGTGCGCCAGCTGTGACCGTACCTCGGAAAGTCTGACTTGGCCACAGTGATCCACACCTTAGTTACATCTAGAATAGATTACTGCAATGCTCTCTAAGTGGGGCTGCCTTTCAAGATGGCTCGGAAACTGCAATTAGTGTAAAGTTCGGCAGCCAGATTACTAACTGGGGCTGCTTATAGGGAGCATACCACACCCCTATCAAAACAGCTCCATTGCTTTCCAATAAGTTTCTGGTCCTGATTCAAAGTGCAGGTTATTATCTACAAAGCCCTACATGGTTTGGTTCCAACCTATCTTCGTGACCACATCTCCCCTTATGAACTGGCACGGGCTCTAAGATCTGCTGGGGAGGCCTTCCTCTCGGTTCCTCTGTGGTTGGTGGGGACAAGGGAGAGGGCCTTCTTGGTGGTGGCCCATCGACTTTGGAATGCCCTCCCCAGAGAAATTAGGCGAGCCCCACAATCCAGTATTTTTGGAAAAAATTTGAAAACATGGCTCTTCAAGGAGGCCTTTGAACATGATTGAACATCAGTTAATACTTGAGAACCAAGCAAACTGTTTGACCCCTGCACTTTATGTGACTGAAATTGATACAGCCATGTTTTAATCCACAGCTATTGCTTTATTTTGTTGAGGATTTTATTTTAACTAGAATGGGTTTTATATGCTGTTTATATATATATTTGCTTTATATAAATCAACACTGTTATACGTATTTTACTGTGCCTTGTGTGTTCTGTTTCACTACTTCATGCTTTTGTAAGTGACCCTGAGTCCCTTTTGGGAGATGGTGGCGGGATGCAAACAAAGTTTGGGTTGTTGTAGAGGGGGTTTTTTTGGGCTATATAGCCATGTTCTAGAGGCATTCTCTCCTGACGTTTCGCCTACATCTATGGCAAGCATCCTCAGAGGTTGTGATCACAACCTCTGAGGATGCTTGCCATAGATACAGGCGAAACATCAGGAGAGAATGCCTCTAGAACATGGCAATATAGCCCAAAAAAAAAACCCTACAACAACCCAGTGATTCCAGCCATGAAAGCCTCCAACAATACAAATTAAGTTTTATTATAAAGAGGTTAAGTTAAAAAGAAAGTAACATTTCTAATATTTGATTTAGGTATAATTTCCCTCTTTTTCTTTTCTCTTGTTGAATTTAGCTGAGCTGATGCAGAGGTCTCCCCCATCATTAATCTCCCTGGCTGGAGGGGCACCAAATCCCAATACTTTTCCTTTCAAGACAGCTAGCATTGCCATTCGAGATGGAACAACAGTTGAAATTGGAGAGGAACTGATGAAGAAAGCTCTCCAGTATTCTTTCTCAGCTGGGTATTTTTACAAGCATTTCAGATCTCTATATTTTCAGATCTCTATAAGTTTCAAGCATATTAAAAGTCATGTTGCGCACAACTTCTATGAAGGGAGATAAAGAATTATAGAATATGATATGTGGCCTTGTATCCTTTGGAGCATTGAATATCTGAAATCCAAAACACTCCAGAATAGTCCACATGGGTGGCTTAGATAGTGACCCCTTTATTGGGTGAGTGGGCTTAATAACCAAAGACCCTCCTTGAAAATGTACAGCAGAGCAACTCGGCAGCACCAGCGTGACTCAGCGGCAGTAGCCCAAAATGATAAAAAAACAAAAAAGTCACAGACCAATGTTATATCTTCCATATGAGGCTTTCCTTCGTAGTCTATGTAGTCATGCCGTCCACATGACCTTGGAGGTGTCTATGGACAACGCCCCCCTCCCTCCCCCCGCTGACTGCTGAACTTGCTGACTTGAAGGTCACCGGCTTGAATCCAGAGAGCGGGGTGAGCTCCTGCTGTTAGCCCCAGCTTCTGCCAACCTAGCAGTTTGAAAACATGTAAATGTGAGTAGATCAATAGGTAACACTCTGGTGGGAAGGTAACGGCACTGCATGCAGTCATGCCAGCCACATGACCTTGGAGGTGTCTAAGAACAACGCCGGCTCTTCGGCTTAGAAATGGAGATGAGTGCCAAGCCCCAGAGTCGTTCACGACTGGACTTAATGTCAGGGGAAAACTTTTACTTAAAATAATATAGTTGCACTATTTACTATAACAAGGTTTCTATAACACTAGTAAACAAATACATAGTAGCTTTATACACACAGCAGCCTTTATACACTGGAGCTTCACTCACAAGGCTTTACTCTCATACAGATGCCTCATCACACAGACTAACAAGTTCCTTCCCTGACACAAAACGAACTCTTAACACGCTTTGGCCTACTCACTCTCCTCAGGGCAATGCCATCTCTGGCCCACTAATTCTAACAGGCTTCAGCCTCACTCTTTCAGTGTTTGATTCACACTTTTGTAACCAAAAAATACTCACTTAATATTTAATATTTCTGACACCTTTTGCTTCCTGATGGCTCTGTGTACACAAAATTTGTTTCTTACACAAAATTAATTAAAATATTGTGTATAAGTCATAGAAACATAGAGTTGGAAGAGACCTCCTGGGCCATCCAGTCCAACCCCCTGCCAAGGAGCAGGACAATCGCATTCAAAGCACCCCTGATAGATGGCCATCCAGCCTCTGCTTAAAAGCCAAAGAAGGAACCTCCACCACACTCCAGAGTGGAGAGTTCCACTGCTGAATGGCTCTCACAGTCAGGAAGTTCTTCTTAATGTTCAGGTGGAATCACCTTTCTTATAGTTTGAAGCCATTACTCCACGTCCTAGTCTCCAGGGAAGCAGAAAACAAGCTTGCTCCCTCCTCCCTGTGACTTCCTCTCACATATTTATAGATGGCCATCGTGTCTTCTCTCAGGCTTCTCTTCTTCAGGCTAAACATGCCCAACTCTTTAAGCCGCTCCTCATAGGGCTTGTTCTCCAGACCCTTGATCATTTTAGTCGCCCTCCTCTGGACACATTCCAGCTTGCCAACATCTCTCTTCAATAAAATGTACTTCCAGGCTATGGGCATAAGTATATATGCAACATGAATGAATTTTCTATTTAGACTTGGGTCTCATCTTCATGATTTCCCATTATATATATTCAGGTATTCCAAAATCCAAAACACTTTGGGTCTCAAACATTGTGGTTAAGGGATCCCCAACCTGTATCATCAGAGCTACTCCCTCTTGCTCTTTACAAACGGCCTGTGATTTTGCCTCCATTTCTGGAAATGATAAACTGTCCACAGTATGTTCCATGTTTTAATCATATACTTATAAGGCTAATATTTACCCCTTTTAATAGTGAAACTGAACCAAAGCTAAGATAAACTAGATTGGGAGGGGGCATAGTTTCAAATTAACCAAAATGGAATGAAATGGATTTGTAGAAATAGTATTTCATTATGGTTCTGTGTCCTGCTGCCTCATGTCTCTCCTTCAGCTCTTCTCTCCTTCCTGTCCTTTGCCTTCTTTCTGCCTCATACTCTTCAACTCAGCACAATTGGTTAATCCTTAACTATTCAGGAATGCAAATAGTGAAGGGAAACCTTGACTGACCCATTCCCATAGCTGCCCTTTTGTTTTAACCTCAATTGCTCTCCCTGTTTCTTCACACAGATGCATACGGAGTCCCTTTTTTACATTTTGGAGAAGATTTTTCATCTTTCATTTTCATTGTATATAGTGTATTCCCTCACTCATACTAGGTGTAACATTCCAGGACCACCCGCAAAAAGTGAAAATTCACGAAGTAGTGACGCTATATTTATTTGAGTATTTATAAATTATCTTTCTGATTTTTTTTCTATTTGTGTCCTCAATTTTTTTGGTATTACGACACCCCCCCCCCGCCCCCTGGAATGGTGCTTGACTTGGTCCAATTTGAATCGGCTGCAGGAGGAGGGGGCAGGGTCGGTGGAGATACCAACGAACCCTCAGAAGCCGCTGAAGCTGTTTGAAGGCGGCCAGGAACACCGGCGGTGCTGCCTACCTCCTGGCCAGGCCTCGTTTCCTCCCTCCCTTTGTTGTACTCCAGGACAGGAAAAGCCCTCTGACTGTAAACACCACAGTATTGATTGGAAAACAATCCTTTTATTGAAGATAATTAAAAAGCAGCAAGTAAAAAGCACTTTAAAGAAATAGGTAAATCTAACTAGGTAAGAAGATAAGCAGGAGCAAAAATAGTCCAGGGTAAAGTTCAGAAAAGTCCATAAAAACAAAGTCCACACTTCTCTAGTATGATTCAGGAAAATAGGAAACATTAATCCAAGGCATGAGTAGACATTCATACATTCCAAGAGTCCAAACCTTGAACAAGAAGTACTTAGACAAGAATCTTCCAAGCAAAGCTTCCATGAAACAAAGGGCAAGAACTACACTTGAATCCAACGATGCTTTATCTGACTATGTTTCCCATATTTGGAACTTTTATCCCCTCGTTAAGCTATTCCATACACTCAGGAATTGGTTACGCTTTACTTGAGATCCCCTTATTGTTTTCTGTCAGAGCATGGCAGAACGCCGAAGGCACTGTTCGGCCTGTCTGTTTTGACTATTTTAATCTCGCCTATCTATTTGCTCATTAAGTCTCGCAGCTGAGCCAGGTGCCCAGTTGTTTTCAAGCCCCAAATCCTGGGAACTCTCTGGTAACAATTCAGGGAGTACACTATCATCCCCATACCCTTCAGGGACATTCTCATGGGAAACTACACTTTGCATAGGGGTCTCCTGGTCTTTCTCTGCATCAGTATCATTGACAAAACCATTGCCATCTTGAAACTCATTGGCACCATTTCCCAAATCCAAAGCGCCCTGATCCTGAAACACAATCACAGGCTGAACTCCAACACCCTTCCCCTCAGGACAGATGAGAGGATGCTTTTCTCTCATCTGGGTTGGGTGTGGTGACTTTGACACCAAGCCTTTGCATTGAAAAACCGTGAAACAGCGAATTTGCAAAAAGCGAACCACAAAGTACTTCTTTATCACTGTACTTCTTTATCCATATTTCCCCTAATTTGCAGAATTCTTTCTTTTTCAAGGGGTATTCAGTTTTTCTATCAAGATATACACTTCAAGACACGAATATGCTGTATTTGAATTTATTGTTAGGCAGAGTGATGAGGTACCCAGAATATTTTTGTGTTTGACCAAAATAGAGGCCATGAAGCCTGTCTTTTTGATGCAGATTGAAATTCAGTATGTAGCTTTGATATTAAATAATACAACATCCAATGCCCTGATGCTGATTTACTACCCTATCCACCCACTCTATTTGAGGTCCAATTCTTTGTAAGCCAATAAACAAAATTCTAATAAAAAGCTAATGGATGAGAATCTTGAAAGTTAACACCCAATACTTCTTTTTGGTTAGTTATAATTAGTACCAACACAAATCATGAGTAAATTAATTGCACTATGAATTTATGTCCAGCATTCCAGAGCTGCTGTCTTGGTTGAAGGATTTACAGAAGAGTCTACATAAGCCTCCGACAGTTGATTATAAACCCGAAGAAGGACAAATGGAGTTGTGTGTCACCACTGGAAGCCAAGAAGGGTTGTGCAAAGTAAGATAAAATAAGATAGTACATATTGCGGGTTTGAATAAATAACAATTTCTTCCTTCACTTGAAAGATGCTTCCTTTCAATAGTGTGGTACATTATAATCTTGCATTGCAAAGATGCCTATAAGCCAACTTAAATCCTATCCTATGGGGCCGTGGTACTGCAGCGGGTTAAATCGCTAGCTGGAGAGAATCTGCTGACCGGACAGTTAGCAGTTTGAAGCCACGAGTCGGGGTGAGCTCCCGCTGTTAGCCCTAGCTTCTGCCAACCTGGCAGTTTGAAAGCATGCAATGCAACTAGATCAATAGATACCACCTCGGTGAGAAGTTAAAAGGGCGCCCCATGCAGACATGCTGGCAAAATACGATTGGAGATGTCAACAGACAACAGGCTCCTCAGCATGGATAAATAGAACAGCAGCACCTCCCCATGGCCAGAGTTGAGCATCTCCTCCAGAAATGAAAGTGTATTATTATTATTATTATTATTATTATTATTATTATTATTATTATTCTGAGAGAATGGCAGGATATAAAATAAATGAATAAATGATTGTTGCAAAAGACTGGTAAACAAAATGTTAGGAAGAACATGTATGCAATGAGATTATTTCATTCAGGACTTGTCCCCCATCCCAAGATTTGTCCAAAAAGTAGATTATGTACAAAAAGAAAATATTTGTGTGTGTAAATGAATTTTTTAACAAGAAAGTCCTAAAATGCAGAATATCAAAAATATGCAAAAACTTTCATAATGTCACAGCAGGGAAGAAGGCTTTTTGAAATTTGTAAGTCATATGCTGTAGAGTTTTGGTTGATGTGTTTGCAATTTGAGAAGAAAAGGACTTCCTCATCCTCAGTTCTATGGTCATATCCAATCCCATTCTGGTCCCGTTCCCTTCAAGTCCCCCTGCATCGCTTACATTTCCCAGTCAGATAAGGTAAAGGTTTCCCCTGACATTAAGTCTAATCGTGTCCGACTCTGGGTGGTAGTGCTCATCTCTATTTTTAAGCCAAAGAGCCGGCGTTGTCCGTAGACGACTCCAAGGTCATGTGTCCAGCATGACTGCATGTAGCACCTTACCTTCCGGCAGAAAAAGTGCCTATTGATCTACTCACATTTGCATGTGAGTAGATCATCCCGCTCCCTGGATTCAAACCGCCAACCTTTCGGTCAGCAAGTTCAGTAGCTCAGCGTTTTAACTTGCTGCACCTCCAGGGGGTCCCTTTCCCAGTAAGCTGATCTTAAATATCTTTATACTCCATATGGTATATGTAAAGCAGCAGTCGGCAGTAGTTAGACTGGGATCTACTGGAAGATCATGCTTCATTTCCAGTAGAATAGCAAAAGTCTCCTAGTTTTTAAAAAACATTTTAAATCTATGTAGGAAATCCTGAAAAAGGAGGAAAAACATTATTTTTGGCGAGGGTGGGGGGTGAATGTAATGTATATGTACTATTATAGGCCATGATCTGTGAATTAGATAAAGTTTCCCATGAAAAACACATTTAAAAATTCCCCTGTAAGTAAAGAGCCACTTAATGGCTTTTCAGTCCAATTCACAGCTACTTACTTTCTGAGAAACACAAACACGGACTGCAATGAAACAGTTGAGTGGGATTTTATGTACTGTGAGTTCACAGTTTTAGGAGCTTAAATTTGTCATATATTATGCTAAACATCTCTTCTTTTCACTAACTTTTTTTTGCTGCAATATTGTAACAGTATTGAGAAGGTGAAATATGTTTTATGTCTTTTTTAATGGTTTGCATTTAGCATGCCTAGTAATTCACTCAATGGTAGTATTTCCATCTCCATACTTTTTAATCTGTGCAGGGCTTAACCTGCTGACACCTTTTGACAGAAGTGGAAAGGAATGTTATTGATATGCCAGAGATTTCTGAAATACTGTTTCCATGTTTAGGTGTTTGAAATGCTTATTAATCCTGGAGACAACGTCCTTTTAGATGCACCCACCTATCCTGGGACACTAGCAGCTGTGAGTATTTCCCAGGGATTCTGGGAACTGTAATCCATCTGGGACATTTCTGAGCTCTGCCTACATTGCGCCAGCTGTGCCCGTACCTCGCTAAGGCTGATCTGGCCGGGGTGGTCCATGCCTTAGTCACCTCTAGACTGGATTACTGCAATGCGCTCTACGTGGGGCTGCCCTTGAAAATGGCTCGGAAATTCCAATTGGTCCAACGGGCAGCAGCCAGGATGTTAACTGGGGCCCATTACAGAGAGAGGTCAACCCTCCTGTTTAAGGAGCTCCACTGGCTGCCGTTTATTTTCCGAGCCCAATTTAAGGTGCAGGTGCTTACCTACAAAGCCCTGAACGGTTTGGGACCACCCTACCTGCGTGACCGCATCGCTGTCTACGAACCCACACGCTCACTCCGGTCATCAGGAGAGGCCCTGCTCGTGATCCCGCCCGCGTCACAGGCGCGTTTGGTGGGGACGCGAGACAGGGCCTTCTCTGTGGTGGCCCCCCGCCTCTGGAATGCCCTCCCGAAAGATCTCAGACAAGCCCCTACTTTGGCGGTCTTCAGAAAGAATCTGAAAACCTGGCTGTTCCAACGTGCCTTTTCAGATTAGGAACCCCACTACCAAATCCCAGAAGCACTTTAGTAGAACCAAGATCACCGCTCACTGCACACTGTACTTATATTTTAATCCCATATCCCTCCGACACTTCAGCACTTTTTAATCCTGTACCCCTACTCCGGCCGGCTCAGTTTTTAATAATGTCTTGTTGTATTGCTATTGTTTATTGTTTTCTGCTTTAACTGTTTTATTTGCTATGTATTGTATTGTTGTATTGTGTTGGGCTCCGGCCTGTTGTAAGCCGCATCGAATCCCTTGGGAGATGCTAGCGGGGTACAAATAAAGTTATAATAATAATAATAATAATAATAATAATAATAATAATTGTATGAACTCAAATGTTCACTGAATGCAGAACAGTTGAAGTTAATAAGTTAGAATGCAGTTATAAATGTCAGTCTAGGCTTTCAGCATAGGCCCCCACGGAAGTCATTTCTTTACAATACAAGATGTCCAGCCTTTCTAAATATTCGTATCTATGATATATTGTTGCATATTGCTTATTTTAAAAGAGTTTCAAAGCATTAGCAATGGCAGTTAAAGTGGTGCCAAACTACATTAATTCTACAGTGTAGATGCACCCTTAGACTATTGAGTTTTGCTGAGTATATTGCCGTTTTTACCAATTTTCCGTGTCCAAAATCATAGAACCACATTTCACATGGGAACATTTTGGACTCACTCCTGGAATGGGTGATACTGCAATTTTCCCAGGTATCAGGATCAAATAAATGATGCTCAGCTAACTTTTGAACCAGTACACCATGAGCCAAAGGAGACCTGACACTAAATGTCTATTACAGCTGAGTGAATGTCATCTTTTTTGTTTCCTTTTAATAATAACAGAATCTGGGGGCCAATTTGTTGCTGAAACTACTACATGTAGGAAGGGTGATTTAATTCTTTTCATTCCATTCTATTGGGAAAGCCAGGACTCTCCACATGCTTTTGGAAACATGACCCTTTTGGAGATTAGTTGGTATTCACACTATTTAGAATAATCATAACCTTTTGGAAAGGCATGACCTTGTTAGAGCTCCTAATCTTTTGTAAAGTATGGTCTTCCTGAGAAGAGTTTAAAACTCCTTAGTGGTAAATATCCACTAGTATTCCTGCAAAGCAATTTAAGCTTCTCAATTTAAGCTTAGACTGATATACCTAGATATCTCTTTGAACTGCCAGGAACAAAGATATGCCAATGCATAAAATATATCACAGAACTTCAGAAGTGTTGTGTCAGTTGCCCAAAAAAATTTCTAAACTTCCATTGCTTTCAAATCATGCTCTCAAGAGACCAAAAATGAGTAGTCATCATTAAAAGTTAATAATAATAATAATAATAATAATAATAATAATAATAATAATAATCAACTTTATTTATATCCCAGGGCAGCTTACATGAGGCCAAGCCGAATAATACTGCAATGCAGATATACAGCAGTAAAATATAAAGAAATAAAATAAATACAAGAAACAATATAAATAGCACATCAAACAATATAAAAACAGAGTAATTGAACACAAAGGAAAAAATGGAAAAAAAAATTATCACAGTGGGCAGGGCCAGTTGCAAAGATTAAAAGCTTAAAAACATTGGGTGAGAGAGCAATGTAATGTATCTAGACAAGGGATATAAGGGACAAAAGTAGGGTTTAATTGCACTAGCAGGTAAGATAAAGTGCTTCCGAGGGCATTTTGTGCCAGGTTTGGTCAGGTCATGGATTACTGTTCATTCATTCATTGAAGGCACACTGGAACCACCAAGTTTTCAAGCTCTACCTGAAGACTGCCAGGGTGGGGGCTTGCCTAATTGGACACCCATAAATAACTTGATGTATTTAACATACAGGTACATTGCTTATTGGTTTCATGTTAACTGAATTATACTTAAAATTGTACTATACTGTACTATACTTCTGATACAAATAAACTCATAAATTAACTGTAATATAATGCACTATACTTCTGCTGCAAACAGACTCATTCTCTAACTGAACATCTCACTGCAGTATACTAACTATACTCCCGCTCTGATTGACATCAACTTACTCAACTGACTTCTAACTCAAACTGACTTCTGTACTCAAATTGACTCAAACCTCAACTGACTTAACTTGACTTCTGATTGAAACACATTATAAAATGGAGTCTCACTCTGGACAGTCTAAGATCTGAGTCACATGGTTTGTAGTCCCGCCCACAACCTCTAAGAACATAGAGTTAAGGGGGGGGGCTGCATATCTATATGTATATACAATATAGTAAGCAATCTCAATTATATACATAACAAATAACTAATATAGGATGTTTGTAGAAGGTTGCTATTTCCAACACATTCAGGATGAGTCCAGGGAATGTTGCCAGTATAGACAATGATAGTATAGACTAATGAATGTGGAAGAAATTCACACATTTCCAGACTTCTCTGAGATTCCGCTCCCTTCCCTTCTTGGACTAGAAAAGGCCTCATCCTCTCCGATTCACCAAATGTTATACTATAGATTCTAGTAAATTCAGTATTATTAACTTAAACATACTGAGCTTCTCAGCAGAGGCCTAACACTGGTGCCACCATTTCCAAGGGGAAAATGCTCACCTTCCCTTTCCCACAGTCTTCTTGAAGGGACTGAAAGATATTAAGAGTCAATAAAAGCAGTGGTTCTAAATTAGCCACAAAAAGGTAAGACAAATTCAAACTATTTTTCACTTGCATGAACAGAAAGCAGGTCTATGAGTTTGTTGTACGTTATGTATGCCCCTCATCCATTTAGATGAAATATACTAATGCACCGAGTCAGAAAAATGCTGGAATAAATGGTAGAATAAATCCTATTTCTGTCAATATTACATATAATTGTTCAGCATTTCCTGCCTGTACAAATCGCTGTGGGTGTCCAAATGATTTATTATATGACTTAGTGTATATTATTGGCAATGTTTTTTCATTATCCTTTTGGGTTAGGATTGGGGGGGAGACCATATAAAACTTAAATGTGGCTGCATTTCATTTATAACCTAATAAATGATGCACTACTTAGTACAGAAAGAGAAATGGCAGCCTCTTTCTTTTACACCTCAGCTATTATTACCGACTGCTCACACCTTTCTGGGTTTTTTTCCCCTATTCCATTAACATCACTGAAATTTCTGCTCAAGTATCTGAAAGTTTTGTGGTTGGAGCAATCTTCTGTTGAGGCAAGCTGCCTGACAGGTTTATTAAATGACAGATAAGCAGGAAGGCTGATTCTGTCATTTAATGAACCTGTCAGGAAGCTCCAGCCACTCCTTTACATGCTCCAAGAAAATAAACTTTAAACACATTTGTGTGAATGCAGTTTTAGAGCTGCACACAATTTGTAATCCATTGTATCCATGCTAACCCAAGGAAGGTTACAGTTCCTTTCCCTACCAATTCTCAGTGATCATGGATGGTTTGTTTGTTTTTCCATGTCAGGAGTGACTTTAAAAACTGCAAGTCGCTTCTGGTGTGAGAGAGTTGGCCGTCTGCAAGGACATTGCCCAGGGGATGCCCAGATGTTTTAATTTCTTACCATCCTTGTGGGAGGCTTCTCTCATGTCTCCGCATGGGGAACTGGAGCTGACAGAGGGAGCTCATCTGCGCTCTCCCCAGATTCAAACCTCTGACCTACCAGTCTTCAGTCCTGCCAGCACAAGGGTTTAACCCATTGCACCATTAGGGGCTCCTAAGACCCATGGTAAGAGCATGACGTCCTATATCACTGGCATGGTTTGGATTTTTGAACCCTCAAAGACTGTGGGGTGTTCTGCAGTTTTAAGGAGAACAAATTGGAAGTTGCAATTGGAAACTGAATCCAACCCTGATTCTCTGAAATAATAATGATAATAATAATAATAATAATAATAATAATAATAATAATAATAATAATGGTAAATGTAAAGGTACAGGTTTCCCCTTGACATTAAGTCTAGTCAAGTCCAACTCTGGGCGGTGGTGCTCATCTCTATTTCTAAGCTGAAGATCCGGCATTGTCCATAGACGCCTCCTAGGTCATGTAACTGGTATGACTGCATGGAGTGCTGTTTATCTTCCTGCCAAAGCAGTACCTATTGAGCTACTTACATTTAGTTGTTTTTGAACTGCTAGGTTGACAGAAGCTGGGGCTAACAACAGGAGTTCACCCAGTCCCGTAGATTAGAACCGCTGACCTTTCAGTCAGCAAGTTCTGCAGCTTAGCGATTTAACCTGCTGCACCACTGCAGCCCCCATAATTATTGTTAATACCCCACTTTATCTCCCCAAAGGGGAGAAGTTTACTATTCACATATTATTTTTGGTGTACCTCCAAAATATAGGTGTACAATTGCAGAATCAAATGTCAGAAGCCATCTAGAGCAGGGCTTCTTAATTTTTTCCATTTACAACCCCTCTCTTCCTGAGAAATGTTTATGCAACCCCCAGTGATGTCACTTGAGGTCTAGTCATACCACAGAATTAAAGTATTATCCCTATGTCCATGGGGTTTAGGTTCCAAGATACACATCGCTCCCTGTGGATACTTAATACCATGGATAATAGCACACTGTATATTTTTACTATACTTGACTATACTGCAGCCAGAAGTGTATTATAGAATCACATTGGAGGACCTAGAGAGGTCCATAAGAGGCATGTAACCAGAAGAACATTAGATGTTTTGTTATACGGTATGGCCTTCATATTTGCAAGGACAATACCCAAATATGGCCTCTTTAAGCATTTTTAGGTACCCCAGGCAATTCTCTGGTTGTTCTGGACTTGGAGCTAAACTTGTAAAAATTAGCATAATTGGTAAGCCACAATCAACTGCAATCATATTATGATTCCAATTTTTAAAAGTATTTTAGGGGGAATAATCAAGCACTCTAGAGGGCTTTGCCGGATTGGATATTCCAGCAGCCACAGGCAGTATAAGATGCCGAAAGTTGTAGCTCAACAACATCTGGAGGACATGAGTTAGCTCCTACAAGGCACTTTACAATTGTCACAGCAAGGGTGACTGTTACAATACGATGTGCTGATTTGGATTTCATGGAGCATTATATAAGTTTGAGTGGCTTAGTAATTAAAGATTTGAGGGCACGAAAAGTTCAGTTTTCTCTTGGAAATAAATCTTAAATCGTTTCTTTTTTGGATTACGACTCCCAGAAACGCCCAAGCAGCATGGCCCATGAGATAGACCCCAAAATTAATTATACCTCTCAAAAACTCCCAAAAAACTAACTTTCAAAATATTGGACAATTTTAAGCAGTCTATAGCTTTAGTGCAATTTCCAGAACATTGCAGGATGTGGTGTGGGATAAGGTGACTGCTAGAAATTCGGGAATTTTATAATATAGGGTTGGATCTCTTTGGAGTAAGGAGAGAGAAAGAGGTGATCCGCTTTTCTATCTCATCTTTCAGTGAAATTTCACTGTCTTAAAGTCAGATGTATGAAGATTTTTAATGTATTCTGATATAAGGGAAACTTGGCATCACTAAGACACAATAGGAACTACATATAGAAAAAAATATGAAATATAAAATGGGTTCATTTAAGTGTTCATTTCTCCTGTTGCCTTATTCTTATTGAAACAGCTGAGGCCATTGGGCTGTAACATCATCAATGTCCCCAGTGACCAACATGGTATTATTCCAAAAGCCCTGAAAGACATTCTTTCCAGGTGGAATCCAGACGATGCCAAAAAACTCAACAACAACCTCCCCAAATTTCTGTACACAATTCCTAATGGCGGAAATCCTACCGGAGCTTCATTAACTACAGATCGCAAGGAAGAAATTTATCAGGTATGTCCATTAGAATCCCATGTGACAGCCAAAAAGTAAAAATAACTTCAGATCAGGTTATTGCCTAGAACACTCCAACAAAGCACTTATCATTAAGAACAGAGAAAGGAGCTATAGATTATAAGGACTCTTAAGAAAAGAAACCAAAGTATCTTGGTACTTTCAGAGGTGTATAGTGTAGTTCACAGGATCTGCCCAGGTTTGCCACCCTTTCTAGTAGGCTTCATCCATTCCCTAAAGTAATGGTTCCCAACCTGTGGACCACTGCCCACTGGTGGACTGTGAGACCTAAAATAAGGTCCGCGGCTCTAGATTATTAAATATGGTTTTCTGTGGGCGAGCAGTTGGCAACTACCTGATGGCATATGTTCTGTATTAGAAACTAGAGCTGATGTGGTCTATCCAATGCAGTTTTCTGCATGCCAAATAACCAAACCGAATATAAAGTTGACAAAAAATTGATTTGTAACCCTTTTGGTACTAATGTTGCAGAATAGTCCCTGATCAAGTGGTCCCTGGTTTAAAAAACAGGCTAGGAACCACTGTCCTAAAGACTACTCTATTTCACCAAATTTCTTCTTGATCTCATTGCTAATATGCTATAAGTGATTTTTTTTAAATGTGATGTTGTGTTTATTATATTTGTTCAATTGTGTTTCTAAATGTTTTCTTATAAGCCAAAATTTGATGGTAGAAATTTGTTTTTGTTATTTTTGTTTGGTTTTGGATGAATGTGTCTGTAGCCTCATCAATACAAGTAAAATTAAGATTTTCTCCTTTGAACTCTTAACCAAATGCAATTTTTACCACAAAACAAATCAATTCCATATGTTAACTTACATAATTTTAGAAACTTTCATTAAAGTTATATTAAACACATTCAAATATTGTACAAAACACTACACTTAGCTCTAACAGACTTTCAAACAGTGGAATCCAAAAATACAGAGTTTTTCCATATCTGGACCACTTTGGGAGATAGATTTTCATAGAAGGCAGCACATTCTTTTACTTCTGTGGATTAGTTTCCTTCCAAGAGAAAATTAGGCTCAGTTTTTCCATTTTTCTCATGATTGAATCACTTTATTGTATGTATTTTGTTTCTAGGTTTGTTAGCTTCCTGTATTCTTGTGTGGAAATATAAATATAAATATAATGAATGAATCAATGAATGAAAAACATATTGGGATGAAGTGTCATAATTCCACTCCTGATACCATAATTCTACCTGGAATTAATCTTGACTGCCTGGAACATCTGGAAGTATGAGATGGGATTGTTGTAAAGGTGAATTGTTTGGGGCAAAGTATTCCAGTTTGAACAAAAGCTATACATACATATGTGTGAGTATTTTCTTTTCTTTCAGCTTGCAAGGCAATATGATTTCCTTATAATAGAGGATGATCCATATTATTTTCTTCAATTTAATAAGGTGAGTTTTTAGGTTCACTGATACTTGTATGCTTTTTACGTTAAAAAAGAAAGCAAATGTTTGCACTACTTTGCATTTATTCAAACATAAACAAAGAAAAAACATAAAATACATTAACACAAAATTAAGTTAAAACTACCATAAAACCATTTTTCATTATATAAAAAATAACTAACATACATTTATCTACAACATACAACCTATACACATTATAAACCAACACCTATTAAACCTGTGGTTCCTAACCTATGGCCAGTGGACCACCAGTGGTTCCCAAGAACTAAAAAATGAGAGTGACTGGTCTTGTGAAACCCTTTTATAGTGCTGAGGCAATGGGGATGTTGGGAATGGAGATGCTGACTATCCACGAAAGGCATGACAACAAGCCTGCCTGCTGCTCCTCCTCCTTCCTCCCCCTGAGCAGAGCTGTTCCATGTGGCGCCTTGAAGAGGGGGCACTTTGGTGTCTTCATTTTTAGGCCTGTCCCTGAGGTTATTTGGGGTGCTGATTCAGAAAATTGCATTGGATAGACCATCAGCTCTTGATCATTAAATATGGTTTTCTGTAGGCGAGCAGATGGCAACTACTGGAGGCCATATGTTCTGTATTGGAAACTAGAGCTGATGTGGTCTGTCCAATGCAATTTTCTGAATCAGCACTCTAAATAACCAAACTGAATATAAAGTTTACCAAGAACAGATTTGGAACCCTTTTGGTACTAATGTTGGAGAGTGGTCCCTGGTCAAGTGGTCCCTGGTGAAAGTGATCCCTGGTCAGAGTGGTCCCTGGTCAGAAAAGGAACCACTGTACTAAATGAATCTGTGAACATCCCACTTGTTACCTGTTTAGTTTAACCTCTTATTTCTTGGTCATGAAGTTAAACCAATTGTCCCATTCACTCCCCACTAAGTAGACATTTTCACTCTTAATGTCCATTATCTGGGGGGGGGGGTGGCTTGCTAATAAAAGTTCATACACTGAGTGATGGTAAATCACAGCATCTCCTCCAAGCGCAACAGTGACGATGGTGGTTGAACAAGCAGGCAGTGGACCACAGCAGCCAAGGGGGCGATGGTGGAGGAGGCCCAAAACTGCCTTTCTGGTTTGATTGCTACAGCAGCAATGCCAGAGGGGGTGATGATGGAAAAGGCCCAACATTAGAGGCAACCCGATATGGTCCCTCACCAGAGGCTCCTCTCTCAGCTGTTCTTACCAGTCTGTGCTGCAAGTTTGTAAAGTGGCCAGCAACGTGGTAGAGAGTTGTAGAAGCTTCTCTCTCAGCTATTCTTACCAGTCTGTGCTACAAGGTTTTAAAGTGTCCAGCAGCGTGGTGGACAGTTGTAGAAGCTTCTCTCTCACAATAGTGTCATGGAACATGCCTGCAAATAGGTTAGACCATACAAAAGTTACTTTTTTGTACTGAACATGCAGAATGCCTAACCAAGGAGGGGATTGCATCACAAAGTAACATTGGCAGGGATAGGAGAGAACAGCTATATGAAAGAGCATGCCTGTGTGAGTAGGACAGAGAATTTATTTTTTTAACTAAACTACCAGAAAACCCTCAACCAGTAAGGGGGTGACTTGAGAGTTTTATTCCAAAAAGTAACATTTCCAAATTCTGGAGTTGTATGTGAGTGGGATGATGGTGAAACAAAAATCTACTGAAGTTGATGAATTGCAGTTCACCTTGTCTCACTTTTCTTATGTTGTTCTCTTTCTATTTCCCTGCATTCTTCATTCCTCTGACAGAATGCATCTCTTTCTCTTAGAAAAATGCCATCTTTCAGGGAAGATGTCATTCTAGTGCTGGAGAGGAGATGAGAAAGTGATAACAGAGAGAGAGCCATATTGTTGAAAGATTACCATGAATGTACAACAGTTATTTCAAACCTCACTTTTGCCCAGCATACGATAAGTCTCTTGTTTCTATGGACTGAAATGACTGCATTAACTTTGAATAACAAACACCTGCATTTCTTCTTCAGCCTTGGGCACCAACTTTTCTTTCAATGGACACTGATGGCCGAGTTATCAGGACTGACTCTTTCTCTAAGATCCTCTCTTCAGGGTAACGTTAATTTCACATTTAGGATCTTTTAGTTACAGTGCAGAATTGGGAATATTAAGACATAGTTTTGGGGAATTTTACTTCTGAATCCGTAATTTTCAAATGCTGTACATACAAATCTAACCACAAAAGAGTTTATTTGTAGCCAGTGTTAGGTGTTTACTTTGTCCACATTTGTCAATTGTGTGGATTCCTTGCTTCTCTCTCAGCTATTCACCTGTCAAATAGCTAGCTTTTATAGTATTGTCTTATTTGTGTCGTCCTTTTTTTCTCCATTTTCTTTTGTTATTTCAGAGTTAAGGTAAATATTAGAAGACAGGTCTATCCAAGTGATTATGTTGAATTTTAATTTTAAGATAATAGTTTAATTGTATTCAATACTTTTTTCTCATAGATTAAGGATTGGCTTTCTAACTGGACCCAAACCTCTCATTGACAGAGTTATTTTACACATACAAGTTTCTACAATGCATACCAGCACATTTACTCAGGTAAGAGCCCTTCTAGTTTTCCAGAACACGTTGTTTGCCATGTAAGCTATGGGGCCAGCTCAACCTGTGTAGCCCAGTCTTTTAGTTCCATAAAAGTTAATCATTTTCATAATTTGAGGAAAGTTTTTTTGTGATATGAACAGGTACTATAAAGATTTAAATACAGTGTATAGCTCAAACTATTAGAATCAGTTTCTTACTCAACACTCCTCATGGATCCAGACTGAGAACAAGAACATTAACATGCTTAAGACTACTTGGCTTGCAATACAGATACTTTCATATTCATGGCATTTCTAATTGCTTTAGTAGCTATTTGACAGGTGAATATTTACTATAGGCTTTATTTCTATAGATTATGATATCCCAACTACTTCAGCAGTGGGGGCAAAAAGGTTTCCTGTGCCACGTAAACAGGTAAGATAGAGAGATTGAGATTAAGAGAGAGAGAGAGAATGTATTTTCTATTGATACTTATACTATTCCTTCTCATTATTGTAGTTCAAAATTAGAATCAGTCCCGATGGTGCATTGGGTTAATCTTGTGCTGACAGAACTGCTGACCAAAAGGTCAGTGGTTCACATCCGGGGAGCAGGGGGAGCTCCCACCTGTCAGCTCCAGGTTCTCATGCAGTGACATGAGAAAAGCCTCCCACAGGATGGTAAAACATCCGGGTGTCCCCTGAGCAGTGTCCTTGCAGACAGCCAATTCTCTCACACTAAAAGCAACTAGCAATTCTCAAGTCGCTCCAGACACAAAAAAAGTCATGACTAAAATCTTGATAACTTGAACTCAGCTTTAGGAATGCGCACAAGAAGGAAACTCATTTTGTGGGCTGAAGAATCAGCAGAAGTATTGTGCAGAGGAAAGTAGAGAATTCAAAATTTACAGAGGCAAACAAGCAAATGTTAGTGACAGCAAGGAGAAAATGTGTTATTTTGTGTGTTGCGATTTACATAGGAATGCTTTTTGCTGCATGGTAAACAACTAAAGCTAGAGTCCACGTGACAGCTATTTTGTGTGTAGCGATTCTGCACTGGTATCGGGTTTCTGTTCCTTTTGTATCTCTTTCCAGATTAATATGTGCTTTTAAATTACCAGTTTTGCAGTCTTTTTATTGATACCCTCAGCAATTATTTTCTGTATTTCTTCCAGCGTGGTAGATTTCTACAAACAACAGCGGGATGTGATGCTTAAGGCAGCAGACAAGTGGCTAAAAGGTTGGAGATAGTTATGAGCAATGCAACCATAATGGGGGTTTTTTATGTGGATTAGGGATTAGGTTCTATGATAGACTGTATTTTTCCATAAGAATCTGCCTGGATATTATGGGGCTCTTTAATGTCTTTTGATCCATCCCACTACCACCATAATTGGTAACCTAGATCCCATTCCTTTGTCTTTCCCCCAAAGAACAAATGTGTTTTGATTCAGATAGGCCTTTGCAAAGAAACTACTGAAGAGTTTCACTTCTTGGATGTTTTTTAAATTGATGTCTCTTAATTGTATTTTTGTATTTGTCAATATGGTTTAATTATATTTTCCCTTTTCGTTTGAGTGTGTGCGTGTGTTGTTAGCTTTATTGGGTGCCACTGTTTAATAATAATAATAATAATAATAATAATAATCCTTTATTTGTACCCCGCTACCATCTCCTGTGGCTTACAAGAGGCCAAGTCCAAATACAACAATAAAAACAGCAGCAACAACAACACAATAACTCAAAAAAACAAAGCAATAACATTAACAACACCCAATGACACAATTAAAAACAATGGCCGGGCCAAATGTAATAATTAAAATTAAAAGTGCTGGGCATGACAAGGTGGGGTGTTTGGAGGGGGATGGGCATGCAGATATCCTGGATCCTGGATTAGTTTAATACTGTGATATAAATAATTACAATAAGGAGTAGATTGAATATATCACCATAAGGAAAGAAGTACATTGTATGTGTGTGTGTATGAATGAGAAGATAGACACAGCAGGTAATTAGTTAACCAGTTAATTACTCAATTTCATTTATGTCTTGCCCTTTTCCCCAGAACTAAGGCTCAAGTCAGCTTACTGAAATATAATTCACAATTGATTTATGTTTCATATACACCTTATATACATAGCCTAATGTGATTTTGTATGGTGTCTTTAATCATTTTGTGTATGAAAGAAGGTCATGTACATTGAACCATCAGAAAGGAAAAATGTCACTATCTCAGCCACCCAATATCAGATTTTGGAATATTTCAGATATAAGGATGTTCAGCCTGTATTGATTTATCTATTGTCTGCCTATCAGGACTCCCAAGGTGAAGCACCCAAAACTAATGAAAGCATTGTATAAAACAGATATATACAATGTTTTAAAATTGTTTTAGTAACCAGTTTTCAGAGGGATTTGTCTTAGGTACTTGTATATAGGATTTTAGGAAATCCAACCATACTACGGAAAAGGAGTCATATTGCATAGTCAGAAGGCCCTCTTATAAGGGCATCTTTATGCAGGCACATCCTGTAGATATTCCTTCCTTATAGACAAGAAGACTGGAGAAATGGAAAATAATTCCATCTAATTTTGAATTGTTACTTACCGGTATATTCAAGGCAGTTCTGAAACCTTAATCTGGATTGATTACACAGGAAGGAATCAGCCAGACTTTGAAACTGCAAATCCATTCAGTGCTAATCAAGGTGTCCAATTGCAACATTCACATTTGCCTGAAACAGACAAGAGTTCTTTCTCCCACCCTGGACATTCCACGGGTATATGAACTCCACTTGCCCAGACCTCACAACCTCTGAGGATGCCTGCCATAGATGTAGGTGAAATGTCAAGAGAGAATGCTTCTGGAACATTGCCATACAGCCCAAAAATCTCACAGCAACCCAGGAATGAAAGTGCTTGTATTTTTAATCTGGCTGTTTGTTTTTCTTACTTTTTTTAGGTTTAGCGGACTGGCATGTACCTGCTGCTGGAATGTTTCTGTGGATTAAAATCAAGGGAGTTTCTGATACACAGGACCTAATCATGAAAAAGGCTTTAGAAAAACAAGTAGGAAAATATGTTTTGGGTGTTAGAATTAAACAGGGGATAATAATAATTAATAATAATTTAATCATCTCTCCCCCCCTCCCCCCCCCCAAAAAAAGAGAGAAGCAGTTGACAAGTAAATGAAAAGGGCTGTTTTGGTTTGTTTGTTTCAGGTATTGCTGGTTCCAGGAAGAGCATTTAACATTAATAGTTCAGATCCCAGCTCTTATGTCAGAGCTTCCTTCTCACTGTCTTCTCCAAGTCAAATTGACCAGGTGAGAGTATGTTTTGCTTAGCATTCCTGAAATTATTTTGGCAAGCTTTCTATCATTAACTCTATTCTCCTATAACCAGTTTAAAACCTTTGCTCTCAGCTTTCCAGTGACTTCTTCTGGGCCATATAAAACAGACTGAAGTTGGTGTTGCCACTTTCAAATCTGCTTCTAGTCATAGATCAGTTTACATCTATATAAAAAATAATTTGCGGTGTATGAGTGCATTGCTTGGACAAATTTGTTGCTGTAAGCCGGACAGGTTTTAAATGAAAGTTAATGAATGGTACTATAATGTTTCCACCATTTAATTATATAGTACCAATGGAATATTCTTATGAGTAGATAAATGTAGTATTCCACTCTGAGATTATCTTAGAACCACTTTATTTATTTATTTATTTATTTATTTATTTATTTATTTATAATATTTCTATCCCGCCTTTCTGCAGTATGGACCAAGGCAGCTTACAGACAGAATACAAACATTAAAATCCTTCAATCAGGAGAACAAAATAGATAAAACAACAATAGATAAAATCCTACATTTCAGTTGAAACCATAACCTCCTCCCCATGTATCTCTCCTCTATCCCAATCATAAAATTCCCAGCTACTGCCATGGCTCAATTAAAGGCTTTGCTAAATAAGAAAGTCTTGTCACCTTTCCTAAAGCTGAGCAAAGATGGAGCAGCCCTTAATTCTTCAGGGAGGGAATTCCAGAGGGCTGAGGCTGCATCCGAGAAGGAGCCTTCTCTAATTATGTGTAAACGCATACTGGTGAAGGCTAGTGTATTGATTCGAGTTTCCTTGCTTGTTCTAAGTTCATACCCTGGGAAGTAATGGGGGACGGGGTGCTTCAGATAGGCTGGACCAAAGCCATATAGGACTTTATAGATGATGACCAGCACCTTGAATTGAGCCCAGAACTGGACAGGCAACTTGTAGAGCTGCTTCAGGATAGGCATACTATGCTTTCATTGTTTGTTATATATATTTTTCATCATGTATAGACATGGTAGGACCTTCCTTTTGATTATTATGAAAGTTTCTTGCTGACATTTTTATATATATCAATTTGGGCACCCAGTTTCTAAAAGAATTGCCATCACTGTTCTACACGATAGAATGAATGCAGTTTGACATCACTTTAGCTGCTATGACTCAGTGCTATGGAATCCTGGGAGTTGCAGTTTTGCAGGTTCTTTTGCCTTCTGTGCCAAAGAATGCCGATGCCTCATCAAACTCATGATTCAGCAATGGCAATTAAAGTGGTGTCAAACTACATTCATTCTACAGTGTAGCTACACCCAAGTCCAAAATTGTAACTACGACACCAATCTGCCCCCATTATGTTGTTGTCGCTGTATGTTGCTGTTGTTACTATTATTACTGGTATTATTATTATTATTTGAAACACAACAAGATTAGTACATAGCAAACAATGTCACTCTGCTGGTTGTTGTATTGGATCACACATCGGACACGTCCCAAGTGTCTAGGACTGTGCGATGTATCGGCGAATAATGTGATGATATTATTCTTATTGTTATTGTTATTATTACAGGGTTTCCAAAGATTGGCTGAACTCATCAGAGAATCTGTATGATACAAAAGTGCTTTCAATATCACTTGGATTTCCAGCTGTGTTGACTAGACTGTATAACATACATTCTTTACCTTTTTTTTTCTTTTCAAGCCCATATCTTAACAGCACAAAACAATGTGTTAAATAATATGTGCAGAAAGGCATTGATTTACTAGGTTACCACGGGAGTTTTCTGCTCACTGGGTGAGACACCATCTGCCAGTTGAGTTTAATATCTTTCTTGCCGTTCTTCTTATCTCTTTATTTGCACTGCAATTGAGAATTATGTACTTGTTTCTGCTCATTTTAAGAGGAATGAAATTAGTTTGTAAAATTCATCGCCTTTTAAATTTTTGTTGTCATCTTCTGTGCCTTCTATTTTAAACAGAATTGCTCTAATGTATAGGCTTGCACTGTAATATATCTCTATGAATAAAGTTGCTTTTGTTGGCTATTGGGCTATCTGCCCTTTTTCTACTCTCTCTTTCCCACCCCAACTCATAGGATAACCATATAGTACCAAAAGTAGAGTCTTTTATTTTCAAGATGAGCTGTGCTGTCATCTGATCTTTTCAAGCAACTGGTGTTTTGAATTGTGTATTAACTAATAAGAATTGTTTATTAACTACAACAAAACAGAAGACTTTTGCCCACATGCCATTATCAAAGACCTGAGCAAGCAGAATCATAATGAGAAGTTACTATTTTGAAACCTTCTTTTCAAGAAAACACCTTCATTCTGTTCAACTAAATATGGAAGAGAGAATCAGGAAGAATTTACAAGTTTTGAAAAAATGCAAAAAAAACCCTTAGTCTTTAATTCAGTGGTTCCCAACCTGTGGTCCATGAACCACCAGTGGTCCACAACAACAAAAATATGGTCTGAGGCCTCAACATTACTACACCGTTGCCTCGCAACCATGCAGCAACGAGAGTGATTGGTCTCGCGAAACCCTCTTATAGAGCCAAGACAATGGGGATGCTGGGAGGGGAGAGACTATCCACAAAATACTACTGCTACCACATCAGCTCTAGATTATTAAATATGGTTTTCTGTGGGAGAGCAGATGGTCACTATTGAATGGCATATGTTCTGTGTAAGAAACTAGAGCTGATGTGTTCTATCCAATGCAATTCTCTGAATCAGCACCCCAAATAACCAAACCAAATCTAAAGTTGACCAAAAAGTCATTCGTAATCCCTTTGGTACTAATGTTGGAGAGTGGTCCCTGGTCAAAGTGGCCCCTGGTCAAGTGGTCCCTGGTTAAAAAAAAGGTTGGTAACCACTGCTTTAATTCATGATAGATAAATTGATATCTCCAGGGCCACTTTGATCTCAACTGAACTTTTAAAAAGTCATCGGAAGTGCCTTCATGATCTTGGTTTTCTCCAGTGGTCTTGGATTTCAACTCACTTTCCTTCCAGCAAGCATACACTTTGTGCAAGATACTCTCTGTTTTCCCTTCACTTCATGTCCTATGTTCATGAGCATCCATCCATTCTTCCATGTTTCATTGCTGCATTTGTCTTATAGCTCAAACTGGCAGGACAAATTGTCCTGCTCTATGGTTTTCTGCAAGCATGGTTTTAGGGTGGTAATCAATTGACACTATTAATTTTAGATAAATGATCCTTTCAAAAAGAATTTGATTGCTCTAAAGTGCCTACAGATGCATTGTGTAGTCTTAGAGAGGCATAATTGGACATTCACCTTAAGACTTTAATTTCATGAGAAGGATGGAGGAGAGCTTCCACAACACAGTAGATATTGGATGGCAGTTGTAGTCCAATATATTTGAAGAAATTTAAGTTATAGATGTCTGGAACAGAGGATGATCTTGTTCGTTGGTTTCCAACAGTTACTTGCATCAATTACTGTAGTTCATACAAAATTTAAAAAAAAGATGAATTTCTGCTATAGTTTCCACCTGTAGTTATTTATAAGTTTGGTTTAGTATGGGGTGTTTGGGTTTTTTTGTTTGTTTGTTTTTTGTGGAAGAGTGTGTATGAAAAAGGATTTGGGGGAGTGGGTTTTTTTTTTCATTTTTAGTGGTGGGTTTGATTGTTTATTGATCTTTTAGCAGACAGTTTAAATGATTTATGAGACCATATTGTCTGATGTTGTACATGAGCAGGTTTTTCTTGTTGCTATGGCTTATGGCCTGAAGAAATAAATTATTTGTCAAAAACACTGCAGATTGAGGAAATGAATCTATTTTAGGCTTTTCTCTATATATAATCTCATTGTGCTTTTCTTCCTCTCTGGCAAACTTTTAATACATTTTACTGCATGGAGATTAATTACTTGAACCCAATTTTTAACCCAAACTAGAGCAAACCTCTTAAATCAATGGAACTTCTGTAAGTACAGACTTACCAAGCTACCATTGAATCAGTGACTTTGTTCAGTTTAGACCAGCAAGATAGAATTTAGGCAGAAGCTTTGGGAGTCATAAGTTATAAAAAATTGAAGTGACAGTGTGTATTTGTACTACATTGTTCATTTACAGAATATAACTTCCAGGGATGATATATGGCTGTGATTCAACCAGCACAACTTGCTGTGCTACTTATGTATGATAGTTTCCAGCATCCTTCTTCATTTGATGTTTGGCAAAATATCTACAAGAAATGTTCTTGTTCGTCCTCTTGGAATTGTATGTCAGAAATCACAAGAAACTGTTATTTGTGTCCTTCTTACAAATGGACGCTTTCTCCATTTATGGACAGATTGTGAAGATGATCTTGCCCATTTTTATTTTTTGTTATATTCTACATGTTTTCTTTTCTATACAAGTAACAGTGGAAATAGGCAGACATGCTCAAAGTAGATTCAACCACACACTGCAATGTATAACCAATATGCCTTTTAAAAAAAAGATCAACATCTAAATGCTTTGGGGACCAGGTTCCATAGTTGCTTTTTAGATCATAGCATTTTACATTTTTTAATCCTTTTTTTTCTTACCAACCTTTGGGCTCCACTTAAAACATAAAGGGCTCTTGTATCATACAGGCTTGAAAGGTTTATAAACATTAAGCCCTGCATTTACAACACACATGCACAGTACATAAATCCCTTTCCCGCAAAAGCAACAATCGCATCCCAACATAAATAATGCAACAGAAACTGAAATACAGTTGCACAAAATGCTCTGAACCACCACTCCTGTTTTCTTATTCCTTTTGAAGTACCATACAGAAGTAGGAATGATTTCAACCTGGAAGCATTTGACACATTTCTATTTCCCTTAACTTCATCAAGGCATAATTTATATCCTTTCTTCAGAATTAATCTGGACATTTGACACCACCAAGTGGAACTGTGGCATGACCTCCATTCTTTGTGATAATGTTTGTGCAGGACCTCAGCACAATATAACAGAGTAATGTCAAGAAATATCTGTAATGATTGATTGGATTGTCACTAAATAAATGGATCTATATGAAGTAGGTTTGTGCATTTCAGCTGAACCTCGGTCCGTTTCTGCTGGCCAGATACTGGTAGACCCGCTATCCGTTTTCGCACGTCTCCTGAAAACAGGTGGGTAGTCAGATGGCCAATAAATGCAGTTAGATCCAGCCCATTGGTGGCAATGGGGAACTTATGAGGCTCCCATTTCTCTATGTGGGAGTCTTTCCTTTTTTCCTTCAAGGGAGGGGAAAAGTGCCAGCAATGGGGTACCAGCAATGGGGTTAAGAAAGGACCCTTCCTGGGAGCCTTTGCTTTTTTTTGCAAGGGACCTTGGGTATCAGCAATGGGCTTAAGAAAGCACCCTATCTGGCCCATTATTTGGGGGGGGGGCTTCCCACAGGCTACCCTTCCATATCCTTCATTAAGACCTGGATTAAAAGCATCAGAGTAAAGATCCTACTCTTTCTGCGATCCTTTCCCTTCTGTCTGTAGAGGAGACTGGGTTTAATGCTTCTTAAATCTGTTTCTACTCTAGAGGAGAACAGCACACCATTCAGCTTTCCAAGGCATTTTAAGGAGGCCCAGGGCAGGAAGAGTGATGACCTGGAGCTATGTTCTCTGGGCTTCCTTTAATAACAGCCTCTTGATTTTTGGCACACTTCAATCTGCTTTCTGCTTCAGGTTTAATGCTTCCCTAGAGCTGTTTCTACTTTCTACTCTAGAGGAGAGATAACTAGGTGGCAGTAGTTTTCAGAGAATGAGGGTTTTCTTTTTGTTTTCTGAGATTCATAATTACTATTATTATCTTTTAGAAGTATTAGAAGGAGAAGAAGTGAAGGAGAGAGAAAAGCTAAAAGGGTGACTCTCCCAAGCCCCCAAACATGCACATGCACCCTACCCACCTGTCCCACACATCTCCAACTCCCAGTAAGTCCCATTAAATATGTTTTATGCAGCAATTATAATTTAGGGGGAAATGAATAATCCCACATTTGGGGATGAAATGCCTTGAGGTCTTTCAACCATATAAACCAGGTGCTTTATTACCCATAAACAGCTTATAGTAATGGTTACTGTGATTAGCAATTCAAAACTTTTGGATAATTTGGGAAATGTCTCTAAACCTAGGGCATTTTTAGTATTCTTAATAATTTCCAGGATGACGGCTTGTACTAAATGAGATCTGAATTTAGATTATACATGAACGTGTAGCATTATCAATTGGTGATTTTGAGCTTGATTGTTTCTGGAAGAATGATGCTATTCAACAGTTTTCATGTTTGTGCAAACTGTTCCACCTATAGAAAAAATAGTAATAAAGCTCCAACTCAATCTTGCATTATGGTTTCTATGAAACTCCAAGAAAAGTGGATCAGGTCCTCACAAAATCATTATTATGTCTTCATTGTATACAGCACCGAAGTTTACAGTCTTAAAGAGTATCACAATAAGTGGTGTCACGTGGAAACAGAAAAAGAAAGGTAACAAAAGAGGGATGAAAAAGTCAACATGAGATTACAAATAAAATCCTAAACCATTGGCCCTTAGACCTTTAAGAGTTGTAGGACCTCATTGACCATGGCTTAGCAACGTGCAGGAACACTCTTTAATTCCACTTTAACAGTTTTCTTCAGAAAAGTGTGGTTGAGTCAGAGCAACTTTCTGTGACTCCAATTTGTGACAGAAGATGATATCAATTGGACTGAACACTTTAAGACAAGCCATTAAAACCTTCACTCCTCTTTGTTCTTTGTCTGCAGCAGTTTCTGCATAAACACATAAATACTCCATATATTTTTCAATTTCCTTGTCTCATATTGCATCCCACCAGTTGCCTATTTAAGATACTGAAAGTTTTTCTTTGGTGTCCTTATCAGAAGCAATCTGAATATAGCAGCAGTGGCAGGGGAGTGGGGTGACATGAAAGAACTGGCACATGGATGTAATGGAAAGCCAAGTAGAGTGCAGTTAAACTGGCATGCTAAATAGGAGCTAAGTCACAACAAATCAGACAACCACAGAAGTCCTATCATAACT